GTCAGCGCCCCGCCCCCGCGCTCACGCAGGTCGGCGACCGGAGGCCAGCCTCAGCCCCCCTCCCTTTGGCTCGGAGAACACTGGTTACTCATGCCCCAAACCTGAGGTTATGCAGCAGTTCTCCCGTGACCCCTTCTTAAAGCCAGTCTGGTCCAATACGGCCACTACCTCCGGCTTTGTCCGTCTCAGCCTCCTCTCCTGGCCTCACAGGGTGCCTTTTGCTCACAGGACCAGAGATAGTCTTTTGAAAAAACAAAACTTGACAGTCATCCATTCTCATGGACAGGAACTACTAAGTGGCTTCCCTGCTCCGGCACCCCCATCCCACCCCTAGGCCCTGGCGGCCTCGACACTGTCTCTCACCCTCACTCACATGGATTTTAAGCGAAGCCAGTTTCCTGCCCCAGGGCCTTTGCACATGTAGTCCCTGCTTGCTGCTGCTTCATAAGTTCCACGAGCGCTTATGCAGCCCCTCTTGTGTGGCCAGATCTGGGCTAAGCGTAGGCATCCAGCCGTAAATCAATTCCTGACCTTGGAGCTCTGTGTAGTGGGGGTGTGGGGCGAGAAGGGAGACAAAACACAGGAGTGAGTAAAATACACTGTTTTGGGCCACGGAGAAAAAACACCACAATGCCCGGGAATGTGGGATGATATTTCAGCATTTGGGATACTTGGGAGGGAGATCATCTCGCAGCTAAATGGTGTAAGCTTCAGGCAGAGCCTCGCCGATACGAAGGCCCCTAGGCTGGCCGGGGCCGTTTGAGGTGCTGGGGAGAGCAGAGACCTGAGCCCAGGAGAGAGGGGACTCGGATGCCTTGAGGAACTCGGGTTTTCCTGACAGGATATGGGGGCTGCCATGGAGTGTGACATCTAGGTGCAAGCGCGCTAAGCTGGGATCTAGGCCAGGCTAGTGTTACCTTGGTAGAAGGATGATGTTTGGGTCAGGGTAGACTTGAGGTACCTGAACGCCCCCTTGCATGGAGAAGGCCACTGCGAGCCCCCAATCTGAGCTCCGATGCCTCTCAGCTTCAGCTTGAGTATCTCTGCTAAAGGTTTCCTTGTTTCCACCAGGAGGTAACAAGGTGAGCCCCTGTGGGTGCCTGCCAGGTTTGGAGGACACACACGAACCCTGCAAGAGAGGGAAGAGCCCCTTGGAGCTCCTGGCCTGTGCATCCTGGGGAGCCCAAAGTGACGGGGAAGGTGTGTGCCGCAAGATGCCCAGGC